AGAATATATTGACAGTGACAAGGATTTCATTTCCTTTAGATCCAAAGTCAATGCTCATGAAAATAGTCAAGAAATCAAATGTCTTATTTCATTGGAAAATCTGATGCAAAGTACCTCCCTAACACATGAAGAAGCTTGAGAGCCTGCTGTCTAGAGATCTTGAGGGTGATCTGATTAATGTGAGGGCTAATGTGCTTCTCCCTCATGTAACGCCAAAACCCACTGTTGTCAAGTTGAGTTGATTCATACTGACCCTACATGTAGGACAGAGAATTTCTCCTATGGTTTCTGAGTCTGCAAATCTGCACGGAAGCAGGTAGCCTCATTTTTATCCCATGGAGTGGCTGGTGAGTTTGATCTGCTGACCTAGTGGTTAGCAATCAAAACACTTAAGCCATGGTACTACCAGGGCTACTAGTGCCACACCAACACCTTGGTATTTTCAATCAGCTCATATGCATTTGAAAGCTAAACTATAAAGAAGAACAAAGAACAATTGATTCATTTGAATTATGGTGTTAGTATAGAATACTGAATATATCATAGACTGCCAGAAGAACCAGTAAATCTGTCTTAGAAGTACAGCCATAATGCTACTTAGACAGGAAGACAGAAATATTGCCTCATTAACTCTAAAAATGTTACTGGGATGGATAATCCCTGAAGAAGGACATCGTACCGGGTAGTCAGTCAGCACAAAGAAGGAAGACCCTCAATGAGGGGAACTGACACAGAGGCTGCAGCACAGGCTTACACACGGCGATGACTCTGAGGATGTTGTAGACCAGATATGATTCGCTCCATTCTACAAATGTTGGAACTGGAACCGACTCAATGTCTACAATATAACGGTCAAATTATATTGATTACGCAGTGGCAAAATTACATCATTACATAAATGCCAAACCACTGAGCATAAGGCCCCTATCGCCATAACACACCATGCAGTACTCTCGTCTTATATTTTGTTACTGCCAGATACATAGCATCAATGAGTAAAATAGTTTTTAGTATTGTTATAAATGTAAAATGACAGATAACAAAACAGTAAGTCAGTCCTGGTGGCGCAGTGGTTACATGCTGTGCTGTAACCTGTAAGGTCAGCAGTTTGAAACTACCAGCCGCTCCATGGGAGAAAGACAGGGCTTCTACTCCCATGAACAGTTACAGTCTCAGAAACCCAGAGAGGCAATTCTACCCTGTCCTGTAGCATCACGATAGGTGAGTGAGTGAAGTAAGGAATAGGTATAAAACTTTTCAGTCTTAGAAATTAAAGTTTGAAACAGGAAATCTATGTCCTAAAAGAATCAGACTTTTGTCATTTGAAACTAAGATTTTATAATACTTACAGTATAATGCAACCCTTTTATAGTTAGCAACATTAAGCCCCAACGATCCAAAATTCATATTACTAGCATAATAACTGTACTGAGCACATAGTTACGGTTATTTCCAAATTAGTATTTTTTGTTAAATATATTGGGTTGGGTGGGATTTTTTCTATTATGGTCAGTATGAATTCATCTTTAAGGCAACCAAAGCTCAAAGTGCTATCTAAAGCACTATTCATCAAGCAGATGAATTCTTTGCAATACAAGTGAAAATTTTAGAGGTATAAGTAAAATATATTTTTAAAGTTAATTTTAAAAGAAATAACAAAGAACTATTATTGAAGTGATTATACACATTCAAGTATAATTCTTAAGAGTACTGTATTAGGAAACTAAATTTAAACTAAGGTTAAATTCCAATTATCCATTGTATGATTTAGGGAAGTTTATCTTTATTTTGAATGCATTCATATTTTTCATTTGTAAAATGAGGATTTTCAAGGGGTTATTTTAAGGATTAAATAAGTTAATACACATAAATGACCTAGTACAATGTATAACAGATAAAACTCAGTAAAAATTCTCTATCCTTCTTTTCATAATAAATCACAAATTCAAAAGAACGAAAGCATTAGGTTATGATTTAGTATATTTTACAGTTATATTTGGAAGAAAGCACACTTGTTTCACTTTAATATTATTTAAGACTTTGCTATTATTTTTAGTTTACTCCATATACCTATATATAACAGGGCTGAAGTCTAACTTCTCTAAAGAAAATACTACTTAGAGATTATTTCAAACTGAGAGAACACTCAGAGGGCTTCAAATACCACTGTTTTTAAAACAGGTTTTAAAGAGTTATTCAATTTTGCTTTTCTTAATGATTATATATTTGGATGTTTTATTTAGATGTAAAAAATTAATTTAGATAAAAAGGCTTACTGCTAACTAAGGGACCAGAACATTAAGTACAGAAATCTTTCCTTACACTTAGCTTAGCTCTCCCTAGGTAACAGAGTAAACCAAAACCACACCAGTTTCCATGGAGCAGTTTCCAACATCTGGACATCCCAAACGGCACAGAGTAGAACCTCACTCCCGTGGCTTTTCACAATGGTGACCTTCAGAAAACAGATCACCAGGCTTTCATCCTAGGAGTTTCTAAGTGGGTCTAAACCAACCAGTTAGTAGCTGGACTTTAACCATCTGAACTACCCAGGGACAAGGCAGCAGAGTAGAATGCGAATATACGCAATCACCATATTATTCTAATAGCAAAAGATTATAAAAGCAATTTTAATTTGTACACATGCAGGATGTTTCTTAATTTTGTTTAATAAATTATTGATTCCTTATAGAAACCAAAAAAACTTCTTGTACTATCTCATAATGGGTTCCCCACCCCCAAAAGGTGAATTATTATTATGAGTTTGAAGATATTTTTGATCACATATGAGGGGGCTTCAAAATATTAATGGAAATTAGATGGAAAGATAATGGAATTTTTCCTTGAACTTTTTGAAACCCCCTTGTATTAACAAGGTATTTAGAAACTTGAAAGTGGTAAGAACTTACTGCCTATTTTTAATTTAGGATAATAAAGTAATGGGGGTGGTGCAACCCTAGAAGAAAGTTAAGGAAACCTTATCACTGTTTTCATGTATAGAACAACAATGAGAATCCATTAGTGAAATACCAAAACTCCCAGGAAAAGAGACAAGTTCTCATTATAAAAATGGCCTGACACGGATCAACTGCCAAATGAGGCCTTGGATTTACAAAGGACACCGGCATCTTTTGTTAATTTCTTTGAAGAATACATGAAACATTTGACAAAAAGTAGAAAATTACAGAGTTTGTTTGTTGAGAGTTAGGCCAAATGTTCACTAGAAGTTCCTCCTATAATATTGTTTAAACATACTATGCTATCTTTATACATATTGTCTCTGAATGGTAGAACTTGGTATATTTGTAACTTAGAAAAAATACAGACTTTAAAGAATGTTCTTCTTACATAAAGAAACTGTATATTTTGTAATCATGGCCTAACATTAAACATGTTTGCCTTAGATACTTCTTTACCTCCTATATAAATGAAGAGTTTTCTTGAGTTAGAATGTTGGCAATGCCTATGCTGCAGGCTGACAATTTAAATCACTACCTTCCTTCTGCTTGACACAGGATTGAAATAAGTGGGGGATAAGCTATTCTGGAATGTGCTCCTATCATATTTTAGTTGCTGTGATTTTCATGAAAGGCTGGCAATGATTCTATTTTTTTGGTTTTTAGATTATGATTAAGATAACGTTAGGTTATATAACCTACAAACATCAAGTTGATTCCAACTCATAGCCACTCAATAAAGGGTTTCCAAGATTGTAAATCTTTACAGGAGCAGAAAACCTCATCCTTCTCAAGGAGGGGCTGGTGAGTTTAAAGCACTGACTTTGTAGTTTATCAATCCAGTGCCTAATTGACAGCACCACCCAGGCATTTTTATAAATCATATTTAGGAATTCAAATGTTAAATCACCTCCAGATCGTTAATGATGTCGCATAGTTCTGAATCAGCAGTGATAAAAGAGGTTAAAGGTGAATATATATTTGATTCGCTTGACTTTGAACTTGCTTTTCTTCTTTCTTTCTTTGCATCAGAAATCCCTCTGTTGGCTATTCCAGACGAAGAAGTAGGTTCCACTGGCTCAATAGGCAAAACATCTATAAAAGGAAAGACATTTTCAAAACACAAATTTTCTTCTTGTGGTTGCTGGGCATGTGGGTTTGCCATTTGCTTTTTGATTTTAGAAATTACAGGGTCTGAAAAATCTGGTAAAATTCCCGGGGGAGACATCTCTTCTTGATTTAGGGCATTTTTGTTGTATTCTTCTTCAATATTTGCTTTATGTTCAATTTCATTTTGCACTTTCCTTTCTTTTGTCATTTTAAATGCCAGTCCACTGACATCTGATCTTGATCTAGTGTGATAAAGTCTCCACTGTCTTGTCAATTTCCTATTTCTCTCCTTCGCTCCACGAGTATTGACGTCTGAGGAATCGATTCCATAAACGCTGAAGCCGTACTTCAAGGACAGAAAGGAGCTCAAATAGCCTTTACCAGAACCCAGGTCAATTACCTAAAGTTAGGAAATAACAAAAAGAATTAAAAAGATTTAGTCAGATGGTGAAATAAAGCACTCCATATTTTTATAGTACAAATAAACAAATATTTTGTATAAGCTATAGCTTGTTATACTTGATTTTTGGTTAGTACTTTGATGGCTATTAAAAAACAGCTTTTGCCAGCACATTTCTACATTTTCTGGATGTCCTAATGTAGCAAGTCAAGAAAAAGAAGTAAAATGCATAAATATTGGAAGAAAAATATAAAAATGTCTTTATTTGCCGATGAAATGATCATTTCTAGGGAAACTCCTGAGGAAGATACTGAAATATGAGTAAAACTACTACATAAAGTTAGCATTGCACAATTGGAACAGAGATTTGGTTCTGACAAGCCCTCACAAAGCCTCAGGGGTGGCTTGGAAGTCTGAGACCAAAGCACCCTAATTACTCCAAGGATTATTATTTCTCATGAGTCAAGGATAAAGGCCACTTATTTTATATAAAACTAAATCCTTTATCCCACATTTATAAAATATATGAACACCTATATGGTGAAACTATAAAACACTTCACAGGAAAACCTTAAAGGTCTAATATACAACCTATTATGTTAGGTAACATCTAAATAAATACAAACAACAGGTTCATGAATCTGACCACTTGCCATAGCCACTTTAGACTAACTCACCTATAGGCCTGGTAATTGTAATTGCCTGAGAACAGTCTCCTTGGTCCCAATTCCTTACTACCCTGCCAATGTACGCTCAACACAGCAGAACAAAATCTAATGATGTGACACTCCCCTCAGCAAAATCTCTCATTGCCTCCATAACCTATCTTCTGCTAATAACTCCCTTTTAAAAGCTAATTTGTACGTGTGCGACCACCAAATGCCACCAATCTTGCAGGCTCGCAGTCTAATCTAATGTTTACCCAGGAATGCCAGCAGGGCTCCAGAACTACAACACAGATCTGGAGAAATGGGGAACATTAGCCTCGGGATCGAAGTCAGCTGTCCCTGTGGACTCACATTCATGAGCATTCGTTTCCTGATGAGGTTGAAAATCTTGGTTGAGAAAATCAAAAGTTTGCTCATCTAATTATCTGTTAATCTGGAGACCTAAATTAAGGGACTTATCTTCTGAGAGAATTTATATACATTTCTGCTGTCAGTGGATGACAGCAGCCTGAGACCACTTGAGTAGTTTTCAAGCATCCTAGACTTGACCTATTCCAGGAGTTTCCTTCTATTGATAAAAGTCTTTGCCTAAAAGCAACCTCACTTTTTTCAAGTGTACTATGGCTGTGTTCAGTTTGTCTAGCACAAACTTTGGCTCAAGAGTCATGTGGCTCGGAAGCAAAATTTTTTAAAAAAGGATTGATTCAGATAATGGTGATTTCATTTGCTTGTAAAAATATATTTATGACTCTCAGATAATTTTTAAATTGCTGTGAGGGACAAGATTGGCTCTTCCATCTCAAAAATTTCCCGACCACTGGTCTAGGGAGGAGGTTGGTACCTAGTGTATTTCTTTTGTCTCCCATAAGCCTAGCAAGCAATGATAATTACACTTTATAAATATCTAGTTGTTCCTTATACTAGCTAGCCCATATTATTTTGCCAATAGTAAGAGGCTCACACTTCCTTCAATAAAATTATGGACTATTTTCCACTTGGTTACTACATGGTTGGGACTTAATATGTGGTGACTAAACTGAAACTTCTACATTGAAACTATAAATACCACCTTATTCATGATGAGAGAAACATCTATGAAATTAATTTTACAGGGATCCTTATTGAAAAAGAAACTATAGAGTTAGCAAGTGGAATAAGGAGGTGAGGGGGAGGGGTGCACAGAGGTGGTGGTGGGGTGATGGGCTGATAATGTCAAGGGGTCTATACAGAAAAAGTCGACTTGTAAACTGGTAGAAATTGTACAATTCTGCTGGACATGATTGAACTATGGAATGGTTTCATATACCTATTAATCCCAATTAATATAACAAAAGAAAATTATTTCAATGAGTACACATAGTAATTGTGGCCTCTTTATATTTCCCAAATTTGCTTTCCCACATTGCACACACCTACCTTACTAATTTCCTCTCACTTAGAGGTCCCATCCTAATCAGGCTTTCAATTAATAATATTGGACATTCAAAGCAGATTGGTAATCTTTGTTCAAGTCCCCTGTTGAACTCAAGATTCGTTACAGATATGCATGGCATTTATTGCTTTTGCAATCACCCCAGTGTAGATTACTCCCCAGAAACAAAATGATCAGATATGATCATAATCATTCACATTTCTCTTGTTCTCCCTCCACACATTCGCAAATGATTAGATTTTCCCTTGGCGTCTACACACAAATGAGTTCAACTTTTTTCATCAGCGTTGTTCTGCATCACTTCGAACAGTCTTGCCCTCAGGTCGGAACTTTTCTCCCATCCTATTGCCTGATCATGTTATCCATGAACAGATCTATCCAGCTTACCTGACTATCAATTATCTGAGTATTCTCTCTAGTATGTCTGTGGTTATTAATCAATGCGTTAAATTACCAAGTTTGTTACACCCCCTTGAACTCTAACTAAACTATCATTGAAGAATCACCTGAAGGATTTTTTAGGAACCTAGCACAAGAATCACTCTCCTGGTAAGCCTGACACTGTGTGGAACACCGAATAAAGAACGATAACCTCTACACTGGGTTTTCTTCCGACCCCACTCCAGAAACCCATGGTGCCACACACGGCTCCGCATTCCCAGCCCACGCAATACACTTCCCGACCACTGCAAGACTTGCTATCTTTGGAAGAGTTCATGAAAAAGATGCAAGAACCTAATAAAAATTGCAAAAGTGAAAATTCCCCTTTACTCTCACAGCTTTCATTATAAGTATAAGGAAAAGATTTACTATTTTGAAAGGCCAACGTGGGCAATCACATTTAAAAAAATATCTATCTTCAGACCACCATTTCTCACAGAACTATTTTTAATACAGGAGTATACTGCAATTCCGACTATGGAAAAGTCCAAGTTCTAAACATAATTTCTTTGTGTTACTATAATGAGACAGGTGTTCAGGCCACAATGTGGTAACCCAAATCCTGAGAATACCAAATGTCATCTTTGTAATGTTGTCTCAAGTTGGAGTTACAACATATCAAATAGGATAACCTTTTACTTTAATATATTTCAAAACAGAGTAAAAATGTTGGCAAAAAATGATAGCCTTATTTTTTGTGAGAGAATTATAATTATTACAGTATACTGGGAAATGAGAGCAGATGCCCAAAGGATCTGAGGACTCTGACTTCAATTGTTAGTTAATAACATTTTAAAGCCTCGTGGGTGGTAGCAGAAAATAAAACTTGAATGAGCCACAAAAGTAATGTGATCAACTCAAAATATAAAGATATAATCTTACCTGCTGAACTCCACAAAAATCAGCGATACTGTTGATCAGCTCTGACATTATATGAACTTCATGGGACTTTTTCATATTCATAAAGTGTTCTGGCTTCACATCTTCACCTAACCAAAATAAAACAAAACTACGGTACTGCTAATAGAGAAGACGATCTAATTCAAGTGATACGTTGATGTTCATGTTTATTATAATTGTATAAGAAAATAATATAAACAATTTACTGTTGTAACTGGGTAATACATTTCTATTAGTTTAGCTCTTATGGATAAAATCTAACTTAAGATAAATATCAAGACCTACAGAGCAATGACATTATTAAAAAATTTTCTTGGCACAAAAGGAATGGACCATTAAGAAAACAATTGCTAAACTATGAAAAAATGTTCTGTATGAAAGCATCAAGACAGTGAAAAGTAAGTAAAGGCATAGAGAAAATACCTAAAATATGTATATCTACATAAAATTTGTATCTAGGAATAAACAAGACAGAAAATGCCTACATTTCAATAAGAAAAAGAATAGTCAATAGACAAAATATTTAAACAAATGGCTCAATTTAAATAATATTACATTAAGTTCCTGGGTCACACTAGCCACATTTTAAAATGCTTACAACCATAAGTGATTAGGTTTCACTGTACCGGGCAATGCAGCTATAAAACATTTTCAACAACTCAGAAAGTTAGGTACTTCCCTTTTTACATATACAATAACTTACACAAAAATGGCCAAAGAGCATATGGCCAGGTTTTCAACAGCCCCAGTCCTTAGCAATATGAAAATTTAAATCAAATGAGCTAATACTATAAAATCACCAGAATGGCTAAAATGAAAAGACTGAACAAACGAAGTACTAATAAGGAAGTGGAGTAAAAGGAGGATTTAAACACTGCAGAGGTGGGAATTGTAAACTTT